TTAAATTTTTGTCATGATGGTCTGTCTTCAACGGAGACGAGCCATCTTCACAGGGCAAGATTATAAGTGTCCAAGTGTATGCGCAAGAACAGGTGCACTCTTTATACCCTCACACTCATAGTCCGATGATACGGTAATCACACACAAACGGAGAGAGGCGGTGGACCAAGGGCATAACGTGCTTTCTGAGGTACGGGAATGAATGAAATACTGCCAAATTCATGACGTCGAGCCGCTACTAAGAATTTCTTAACGGAAAATCCCAATGACTGATTTTGACCCGACGCGGGATTCGAACTCAGAACCACAATATCATTAATTACATTTACGACCACTAGACTAACGAGGTTCTTCATATATCTTAATATATATAAATTACGTGTCACGTTGTTTGTCCGCGATGGACTCCTAAACTACTAAACCGATTTTAATATAAGATCAAACGAACTTCTCAAGTGAAGTTCGATCATTATTATATGAATCGCTTCATTTGAAGATATAATTATTCACCAGGTAGTTCCCTTAACCCACAGGTTACTATGCACGCTTTAAAAGACACTCAACTGACTAAAGTTGGCTGTGAACCGACTTACCCTTACCACGATTCGGGGACGGAGTGAGTCGCCATTCTGAGCTCATTATTTTTAGGGTGTAGAGAAAAACTTTCCGTATTAGGGCTAGCAAACTACTGCTAAGGGAGGGTGGGTAATGGCTCATATCTTCAAATGAAGCGATTCATACGAGTATAATAATGATCGAACTTTACTTGAGAAGTATAAGATCAAATCTTATATTATATTTCATCGCTTCCTTTTTCAGATATAATTATTCACCGTAATAAAATAATATATATTTATTAGTTACTGATCGGTACATGAAACGTTATGTAATCACGATAATTTGAACAATTAGTTTTTGTATTTATGAATACAGAAAAAATTAAACTAATGATTGGACGTAAAGCAAGCGGATCTTGCAAAGTTCCCCTCATCAACAAGTCCATCCGGCAGCTTTACGGATGACATCAACGCTGAGGCCCGCGCGGCCGCAGCTGAGGTAGAGGCGTGGCGAGTGCTGTGGGCGCCAAACGTTGACGTATCCACACCGCTTTCCGAGAGCACTTGTTTAATCCATCGACTGATTGATTGCGTCGTGGCTGGTCTACGTGGTGGCTTGTAAGTGAGGAACAGTTTACCTATGTTTTCCGTTCTTTTACTTTCTGTGATAGAAATATAATCTTTTAGAACGGTAGCTGGGCAAATATTCACATTTTCTAAGAAAATTGGTATCAAGAGTACAGGTTGCTCTCGGCCTGTGGTGGAAGTCTTTATTAGATTAGACAGTAATTATGATATTAGCGTTATTGTGAGAAAATGATATGTTTTCCAACTTAATTAATGATAGGGTTTGTACTCTATGGGCTGTACAGAGGGCTAATAAAATTGCATATTTCTTTGTAATTTTTTCCAGATTTAAATTCGTATTGGGATGCCACCCTGCAACGTGATTTAAAACCCTTTGAGGGCCCCAGGTCTGTGTATATTTTGGAATGTTTGGCCTTAATTTATAAGCTCCTTTTAGCAACCAACTTACATGTTCGTTTGAACTAATATTGTTTCCGAGAAGTAATGATAGCGCTGATCTATGAGAATTGAGACTTCCGTAAGAACAACCGACATTAAACTGGTCAGCCAAAAAGGATAAAAAAGGAGATATAGATGGTTGAAATGGATTAATATTTCTGTTGTCACAAAACCGCACCATGTTTTATAGATAACATTATACTGTTTTACCGTGCTATCGGAGAGCGATACTAGCATGAGGTTGAGGGCCTCTGGTGGGCATCTTCGGGTGAAAGCTTGCCGGAGAGCCTCGCGGCACCCAAGGTAAGGCTCGCGTGTAAAGGGTGGTGTTCTCTGGAATGTGATCGTAAAAGATTCTTGTTAGGGCGCAAGAACAGAATATCAGATGCTAATAACGTCGACGTTTTCTTCCTACCTCGGTTGCAGTGGTTTTTTGAGTACCGAGGTGGGCAGGACCAGTTTCCCGAACTAGAAGAGCGGTTGCTAGTGGATTGAGAGCCGGAAGGTTTCGGATTAATCTTTTTGATTTGCAGACCCTGTCGTTCAATAGCTCTGGCTGCCTTGATCTTTTCTGAAAGTTTGTTATCGAACAAAGTTTCATCTCTTACTGAATCTTGAACTACGTGGAGAAAGTTCTTATCCAGGTTTGGTGTAATTAGCTTTATGCGGCTATTCGTATTTATCGTATGCAAATCCGAAAGAATACGGCAGGCTTACCTTCATTATTGGAAGATTCTGATGATATGACCCGTATTCGGCGATGACGTGCGACATCGCGTTCACGTAACTTTCTAATTTTGCGTTCGTAACGCTCGATTTTTTTCTTCCGCACTTCGTTTTAGCATTATAAATTTTAATTATAATTATAAATACTTTACAAAAAGGCAAGAATAAAGTGTAAACTTATTGGGAGATGCGTGCTGTCGTCACCGTGCACGAAAAAGGAATGAGCGAGTGGCGACTCACTCCATCCCCAAGTCAGCGGTGGTAGGGTTAAGTCGGTTCACAGCCAACTTTAGTTTAGTCAGTTGAGTGTCTTTTAAAGCGTGCATAGTCACCAATAGGTTAAGGGGACTAACTGGTGAATAATTATATCTGAAAAATGAAGCGATGAAATATAATCAAACTTGTACACGGTGTGCAGTTTGGTCCAACTTGAGAGATATGATAGTTTTTTTGCCCATGAGTGACCCACAATTTTTTTTGCGTATTTAAGGATTATAATAGGACATGACAAAGGGTCGTCGAAAAGGGCAGAACAACGTCTGCCTGGCAAGGTAGTATATATATATATATATATATATATACATAAGGGAAATACCACTGACTTGCTCACTTACCACGAGATCTCTGAAACCACACGTCCCGTTGACATGAAATTTGCCTTTGCCTTGAGATTTTGGAAAAATCAACCAATGAGCGGGTGAAATAGAGTGTTACAGCTTGTATATTATATTTCTGTTAAACAAATTGTATGTCAAAACTTATTAAATTATAGTAGTAGGTGGCAATGTTATGAAGTATTCTACGTTAGAGCTTAAGAACTTTTGGCTTAATTTATTTTCAAGTATAGGATTTTACTTGGTAGAGCCATGTTGTAGTTACATTAGTAGTATAGTTGTAGAATGATGGGGTCAGCTCTAGTGGGGTGGGATCACGCTTTTACAGTATACCAGCGTAAAACAGCAGCCTAATACTGCTATGTTTCGTATGGTGAATGTGGAGAACCGGACACCCTTTTTACTAAAAATGAGGCATTCTATTTTAGTCCTTACGGGTAACAAACGCATCTGCACTTTAATTCGTAATCGATGATAGGTGTATATAGGTGTAGACATCTGTCTATGGGCCACAGCAACCACTTACCATCAGGTGGACTGTGTGCGCGTTTGTTATACTTATATTATAAAAAATAATCCTTTTCATTTTTATTTTAATAACAATAGTAAAAAATAACATAGTAAAAAATAAACTTTCAATTATATAACAATGTTCAGACATTTAGTTACTACGTTTTCATAGTTTTAAGTAATAGTTTGTTTGTTTAGGTTATAGCTACGGCGTAGACATTCAGTATAATTTGTAATTCCAATATTATTTTTATATTATCTAAATATTTTACGAACATTTTTTAATAAATGCCTATATCTTATGGTTAATTGCCTCTTCGTGTTTCTAGTGGTAATTAACGCAACTACTGATTATGTTGTCAGGAAGTTGGCGGGGTTTCAACCAAAGCACGTAAAGTTATCGCTCTTGCACCTGAACTATCTCCAGACGTGTCGAATTCCACATCGGACTACGAAATTGAGGGAATAGAGAGTGCACCTGTTTTGCACACACTCGTTGTTACACTATAGGTAGTAAATTTTATCAAAATTTTAATATTTTTCGTCTATGAAGTATATGTAATATAAATATATTATTATACTAGCAATCCCTCTTCTCTTTCTACGACGCGGCGAAAATGTGTGCCTGCGCCTGCTGTTTCGTTTAAGCGGCGCAGGGCGCTTGCGCGAATGTAATATAAATTGTCGTGTTTGTGTTCAATAGCGCAATAAATAAATATTGTATTCTTCCACATAACTGATAGTACTTTTATACTGATAATTAAAGCAATTCGTGCAAAATTATTATCTAAACATTCCAAAATATCAAAAATGCACATCGTTAATATTCAAGTGTTCACTTCTGCCGGCACTCCTGGAGTGCAACCCGTCGTTTTTTTTTTCCTTAAATTAGTCCACGCTCGAAGTGTAACCTATTGAAATCACAGAAATGGTAATCATAAGACAATAGGAATGAATTAGCGCTCGATTACTTCCAAAACCGACGTCGCACCTGCAGCCGTATTAGGGTAAAGAAAGCAAGGAGTGCGCAGTTTTTAATTTTTTTTAATCAATTTTCGAATTACATGATTAGTCTTATGTTTATGTTCTTAGTTCTTTAAGAAAATTATTTCAAAAATCAATATGGACTAAAAATACTTAAAAATAATTAAATTGTTAAAAACTAAAGTTTGTCTCATGCACACTCTTAAATAGAAGCATTCTAAAGAATGCGCACTTATAACCATCCATACAAGCTAAGAGTGCGCTTATAAACAATTATCACATTTAAAATTTCCAAAACCAAGGTAGTCGGTGTACTCGTCATGCCACCAAGCCTCGCACCGATCGCACTGGATCCGGTCTTCATCTGGAGGCTCAGTATAAACCTCCATGCAAAGAGGGCAGCGAATCACTTCTCTGCCTGTACCTGTTTGTGCCAAAATGGGTCTATTTACATTATTATTCTTTGTTTTTATGGTTTTGGCTGTTTGCGGTCACTTCTTTTTTGTTCTTCGCTGATTTTCCTCTTCCAACTGAATTTTGTAGGGAAAACTCGTAAGTATTTCGGATTTTTTTTGTTTTATATTTATTTTCTTTTGTATATTAGCTTTGGCAAGGGACAGATGTCGGATGGTTTTATAAAGGAGGTGAACGGGGATGCTGTGGATTTATTAGTAATATCTCTTATAGGTTCATTGATTGGCGCAGCATCTTTAAATTGTGAAAGTAGAACAGAACTGTCGCAGCCTTCTTTTGAAGTTTCAGCTAGATCACAATGTGATGGTTGAGCAGATAAACTGACACAGCCTTCATTTGTTGTTTCAGCTAGATCACAATCTAATGACTGAGCAGCTAAACCTAGTGCAAGTGAACCAACACAGCATTTGTTTGCAGTTTCAGCTAGATAACAATTTGATGGTTGAGCAGCTAAGTCTAAACTGTCTCCTGTGCCTACAGTTTCAGTAACAACAGATGGCATTTGTGACTCAGCCTGAGTTGACGTTTGTTCGTTTTCTCGCGATTCAGTTAGTGGATATGGACGATCGGTTACTTCCGATGGGGCAAAATCTTAATTTGTAAACACTGGGTCGTTAAAAAGCCAGATATCACAGGATTCAAAAGCTTTTTTAGCTCTTTCCATTTTAGCAACGTTTAAATATGCTGTTCCAAATAGTTGGGCAACCTGAAACTGTGTGATAGCTTGACCAGGATGAAAAACTTGCCAATTGTCGCAAGCTGTAGCGTAAGCTTTTTTCAGTGGGCCAAAAAATCCTATATCTAATGACTGCATGCAATGGCTTGTAAGCGATGCCAAGCTCAAAAGAACTATTCCATTTTCACGAGCTAATTCAATAGAAGTAAGCTCAAATGAGATGAATGGTTATCCAAAATGAGAAGGACAGGAACATCTTTGGATGGTCTTACCATCTGAATAAAGTGGTTCAGCCACTGAACAAACAAATCAGAATTCATGTATCCAGAATCAGATACAAGATCGCTGAGCTCCTACATCAGTGCTAGATTCTTGCACTTTCTTGGAAAAATCAGTGCTGGTGGAACAAATGATCCAGTAGCTCCCATGCAGCAGACAGCTGTTACAGTTTGACCTCGTTCTGCAGAAACTATTTTTCCCACAACTTTTTTCTCTTTTTGTGCATAGACTTTGGGTAATTTGTTTGGTACTGTCTGCAGACCTGTTTCATCCATGTTATAGATTTGTCTACCGACAAATTTATATTTTGTTAGGACTGTTTTAAGGTTGTCATAAAATCTTTGCACTTGAACACGGTTAAAGCCAGCAGCGCGCGCTAAACTCGTCTTTTCCGGCTAACGTAAGCTAAGTTGATGTCTTCTTGCAAAATTTTCCACCCACACTTTGCTAGCTTGTTTTTTATTCTTTATTAAATCTATGGTCAAGACCATTCTTTTCTGCCAAATCGAAAGCAATCCTACACAATTCCTTTTATGTAAGACCGTAGAAACAAGTATCTAATTTTTGGCAATAATCTGCCAGTTATTCCTCTTGTTTGGAAGTAATTTTTTTTAAATCTGCCTATTGACAAGGGAACTGTTCCCGCTTTTAATATTTTTCTTAAAGTAGATTCTGGTACAGTTAATGACTCCGCAACAGACCTTTTGCTTTGGCCACTTTCTGTTCTTCTTTTAGCTTCTTCCAAAATATTCTCGTTGAAAACTAGGTTTCTATCCAATTTTCTTTTATATTTACCCATACTTTCTGCTTTAGCGATCCTATAAAGAAACAAAAACTGTTGAATTCATTCAAATCAAATGTCATACTAGCTAAGAGTACACATGCGCACTCTTTGTCTACGTACTCTTACCGCACACGACTTTATGAATATAAACTATGATAACCTCAACATACAAAAATGGCGTCATACTTTTTCTCTGAAAGTAAAATTTTGTAACCACATTTTAAGAATAATCTACATTCACAGGCTTAATCAACTTACGAACCTTACAATATGGATTTTAAAATGCTTAAAAATAACATTAAACAAAAATTTTGTATACATACCGTAGCAAATCAAAAACTTGTTCACTAGCCCGGCATATGGCCTGCAATTGACCGGTGAGGATGTGTTGCCAGCACAAACAATTTTTTTTTCAAATAGTAGAAGTGCGTACTCTGGTAGTGCGCACTCTTAGCTTTCTTTACCCTATAAACATACGCAATGCACAATGATATCTAATGTTTCAAATTACATTGCTTGACGAATTTGTCAACGTCGCGTGCGTCGCGTATTACGGTAGAACAAAAGCAGCAATGTTAATTGTCAATACAAAAAGTAATAAATGAAAGTTTACAAAGGTGTATATCATAGTGAGGTATTCATCTAGATTTAAATTAGTTAAAATAATGATAATTAATAAATAATCAACTTACCGATGATATTTCACTAGTTAAATTACACGTCCTTGATGAGTTTTTACTACTTTTTTTTTACTAATATGATGCAGTTCACTATTATAATTACATAAATTCACGAACGACGTTCCCCGACCAACTAAATCACAAAATGGTGAATGATGTTCGTCAACATATAATAGCGGTGACAAGGTCACGCGTATATGCGACTTTTACTGTCTTATTATTACGATTTATGTAATTGAAACGAATCCAAAGGTTAAAACAGTAAATAAATTAACACTACTGCGTAAAAAACTTACTGAAAATAGAAAAGTATTACATGTTACGTCAGTTATACAACTAAGAAGATTCTAACGTCACCCCATTTTGTTAAGATCCATCAAGCCTTATGCTATAGAACGTGAAAGAAACAGACATATTATGTACATACACTCTGAATATACATCGAGAGTGTACATACACTCTCGAAAAGCATTTCCCTCCTTCTAGATCAGTGGAGCAAAATAATCACAAAAACAGTAATTCCAGCCCAAAAATAACAGCTTAATGCTGCTTACTTTACTCAATATTTACGTCTATTTATCTTTGACCTCGTCATTTCTCCTTTTACCGATTTTCAGTAAATACCTACAGTTATTTTTGAAGTAAAACTTCTTTACGCACGCTTGACTTGGGGATAAGTTTGCGAATGCGTGACTAAAGCGTTACGAAAAGTGTGATCAGGCGGGGCACACGGGAGTTGAGTGAGAGATATAAGCAAGAGCATAGATTACTGTATATATGAGCAGGAGAGAGCAGTGCGCGCGCACATTTTCATTCTCTCTTTATGTAAATGCTAAATTAATAGCATATATTGATATATTGTAACTTAATAACATATAATATCTTTATATATCAATTTATTATATGTAACATAACCAATATTATATATATTCACTAAATGTGTATGAAAGTTTAATCGAGTATCAGTATTTGTAGGCAATCTCTTATTTAAATTTAAACTTTTTATGCATGATATTATATCCGGTACAAAGTAAGATTATTACTGTCGTTTTCTTACTTTCACAAGGCTGTTGCCTTTTTTCTATTCCATAGACACTGCAATTGATGTGCTATCAGCGAAACCAAAAACATGAAGAATAAAATATAAAGATAAGGTCATGTTGTCTATGACTTAATAAAAGTCTCATATTAAATTTTAAGAAGAGTGCATTTTTCAATGAGCAAGTGATAAATCAGTATATTATACTCGTAAATTTGATATTATAGTTAATGGGATCAAACTTATTTACTATTTGAACGTTGATGCACTTCATGCGTATTTGCGGATACTAAATATGGATCGGTAATATTATCATCATCATTAGATTTCGAAAACCACTCCTTGAGCGCACGAATAATAATGTAGTCCTACTTTGTTCTTTTTAATCAATACATATAATAAATCGAAAAGTTGTGTTTGTAATTCAAAAATATTTTTGAAAAAAAAACAAGTCTGGTAGATTAGTGGTGTGTAGAATTTTTTTCTATCTGTCTGTCCTTCTGTATATTCAGTCTGCCTGCAAATTTTTTCACAACTTTCATTATCCTTATAGTTTGATCAAAGAGATTTATATATGTGTCATGGCAATGCCGTAGAACAAATTATATCATAAAGTACGCTATCATTTTGTGAAATGGTGCCTTTTCATGATATTATATCACTGTTTGTGGACCACTTCATGATATTGAGCAAATCAATGAATAGAGATCGTTTGACGATTTTAAAAACTATAACATTGCCATTTCATGATATGGTCATATCGTCAAATAGATTTTCACTTCGTCAAGTTTATTTTCACTGTTAGCAGAGCCGTAAGAGTAGTTATGATAGAAACAGAACAGAATCATCTCCACTTTTATGCGTTATTTATATAATAAATAAATGTTTGCGGCTTTGGGAATCGTATCTACTTTGGGGATAGTATAATTTTGGCTTTCATTATTTTAATATAATATTAGCGCCATCTACTTATTGCTAAATAAACTAATGATAAGTCAAATTAAAATTAAGTAAAATTTAATAATAGAATGCTACTGAATACAATAATTTTAATATCGTGAAGTTTTTTACACGAAACAAGGTGACAAACGAATACATTATTCACCTGGTGGATACGTAGATACTGTGGATCATATACATTCAAAATTTAGATGTATTGTCACCCCTGAAGACTAAGATCAAATACCTCGTTTCCTGTAATAAGATTCTTCGGTTGTTGACCCTCACCTTAAGAAACACAGCAGCATTAAGCTGCTATTTTACTCTACTCGAGCCGACCCATTCATGCTATAACCATAATTTAAAAAAGTTTGAGTTTAAGTTCTTAATTGTCTCTGAATACTCTTAATGTTGTATATAAAGAAAAACTTTATTTATATTCTATTTTAGTTACCGAATATTTTTTGCCCTAATTTTTTCGCCGCCAAAGAAATGTATATAATTTATTATTTTGCATTACGAAACATTTCTATAAATGTGCCTGTTCATGAGTACTAAAAGCAATAGCATATGCTACGAAAAAATCTGTCCTCTTAAAGTAAATGCCAAAGATGGAACGGGGATCGTCTATATCAATTTAGTAAATAAGCAAACGGAATCCTTACAAATCGACTGCACTATCCGAACCCTGGGTAACTTATGTGTTCCCAATTGTTTGTTGTAAAAAGACGAAGGAGGTAATACTTTTTCTGTAACGAAATATTGTCTCACAAGCTACTGGTTAGGGTTGTCAGTGGCCTGTTTTCAGAACTACTTTTTTAGATTTCCATAGATTGAATATTGCACGGTAATTTATCGAATATATTGCGTGCGCAAGTGAATTAATAACTCCATTTTATTAAAAACTACTATTATCTTGTAAACAATGCTCGTTGTTCTACGTGGCTACATTGATACCAATAATTATGACATAGCGATGTCACATTTACGTTGTAAGCTAATGTATTTTTTTATAGAATAAGGGTGACAAACGAGCACACAGTCCACCTGATGGTAAGTGGATGCTGTGGCCAATAGACATCTACATTTATCCTTGATTAATAATCAAAACGGAGATTGTTGTCACCCCTGAGGATTAAGATGCAGTACCTCGTTTCCAGTAAAGAAAGGGTCTCCGGATCTCCGGATCTCTCGATACAAAACACAGCAATATTAGGTTGCTATTTTACGTTGGTATTCTGTGAGAGCGTGGTCCTTCCCCCGTTGAGCCGACCTATTCCTCCTACAGCCATAATATAGCTGCAGCGTGGCTATACCACGTATTTAAAATTATAGTGATATTTTGAATATATTTTATTTAATATATCATTAGAAAATATTAAGAAAAATTATTCATTTTCGGGGGTTTCCCCGGTTAATACAAAACTACACATTTTACCAACATCTTAAGAAGATTATATGACATATGTTTTACACACTGAAACGTTTTAAGGTATTTTAAAAACATTGCAGCCCAGAAATCGTTTTATTTCTAACATAATTTCAAAAGCCTTTTTTTATACAAAAATTAAATAAACAGAAGAATGGAATGGTTGATATCTAAGTATGTCCTTAACTAGATGGTAGACCAATAGCATTTATTGGACGCCACAAGATTTTATGACATTTCCCATAAGATAGTAATTTCAAAAAGAATACTAGCGTAAAATAGCAGCATATTCCTTTATGTTTAGTTTAAATAACGAAGCATTTTTTTATCTGACAACACATCTGCATTTCGGTTTAACAGGATTATTATATTGTATAAACACAAGGAATATTATAATTTATGAGCCACAGTGTACACTTACCATCAGGTGAACTGTGTACTCGTCACCTATACCTGTGTATAACAGTGTAATAAACAGCTCAGGAGCGCATTGACTAAGCAAAAGGTAGCGTAACTCTGCATACATAAGCTCGTTTCCCGCTCGGAGCATCTGTTAATATGGGCTACAAAACTTTATGGATGTTTGTCTATGTGCTACTTATGTATGTAATATACGTGATGGTGCCATGCTGCGGCTATATTAGTAGTATAGCTGTAGCACGAATGGGTCGGCTCGAACGGGGAAGGACAACGCTCTCATAGAATACCAGCGTAACATAGCAGCTTAACGCTACTTCGTTTCGTATGGTGAGTATAGAGAACAGAACCCATTTTGCTGGAAACGAGGCGTTCTATCTATGTCCTGACGGGTGAAAACGCATCTGCATTTTATTAATATTATAATAAACAGACAAACAGACAGAGAAACAGATATCCATGAGCCACAGCAACCACTTACCATCAGGTGGACTGTGTGTTCGTTTGTCATCTTATCCTTTAAAAAAATGTAAAACGACTACAGGATACTCTGAAAAATCATACTGTGGGAGTAACTTTTTTAACGGAAGGAAAAGTCAATTGTTGATTAGTCTGTGAACTAATAAATTTACGAATAAATTTTATAAGAGTCATAATCTTGATAAATTATTCTTTTTATTCGTGACAACCCTGTTAAATGTTTTCCACGAAGTAGCCGCGGATCGGAATGGTGCACTTACTTTCACTCCACCTGCGGCTTATTTATGACCCAGGGCAACTACTTTCGTGAATAATGGACTCACTATCAGTATGCTTCGTATTGGAGGGAAGAATTTTTCAATACAAATCGAGACGCCGTGGGCTATAGCCCACATTTTATTGGCAACACGATAACCATACTGAGATAGGATTAGACTTGTGAAGTGAGAACAGCAAGCTTAGCCAATTTGACTTTGTATAATATACAAAATATTAAATAATATAATATAATATTATATATTTTATATAATATAATATACAGAATATTATTCTATATTCTACAATTGTTAACACTTAATAATAATAATTCTACTTTTTTTATTAGACACCATTTTGAGTGATCTAAAGAATGTCACAAGTTCAAGGTAACTACTAGAATGTCGTTTAAATAGATATATTCAAACATTCATCCCTTATTTTTCAACGCTTTTGGATTAATGTTTTTCTTTAAATTTAGAATAGAATAGAATAATTTTTTTATTCAAGAAACCCAGCGGGAATTTTTATTAAACAAATTTTACAATGTCAATGGTCACAAAATATTTACAAAATTTATTTTAGAAACAGCTTGGAAGCGACCACCTCATTCCCACGGGTTATTATCAACCATGTATTCATTTATATAATAATAACCCTTTTAATACAGTTTTTTTTTCCTCCTTCCCCGTTCTTACACTCCTCTTTACATCGTAGGCCACTCCAGTCCTCTTTACATTGTACCACTTCGGAAGTATCTAATAAATAAAAATTTATATTTGTTTATTCGTATATTATGCGCTGCCATAACATTAACCTGATTATGGTAAAACTTTGTCAACAAATTGCTTGCACTTGCGCAAAGGTTATATACATAGTAAGCAACATTAACTAGGTGGCGCGCATGTCATACCGACAAATTTATTTGAAAATTATATATATTCATTCAACATCAATGAATGCATTATCATTCGTAATTAAACAACATAATTCTTCCAAATTGAAAACGATATTTCCGCAACTGTTTCTTCTGCGACTGCAATACGCCGGGTACCTGCTAGTAACCTGTAAATTTAATCTCACTTACATCGATTCCGCTGTTTCAACGAAATCGGTGAACATATATAATAAAATATACTGGTTGAACATACCAAATTACCAAGTTCAAAAAACAGAACCTTCTTGTCTTATGAACTTGTTGAAAAGCTATAAAAATTAATTGAAATAACGTCAACATTTTGGGATTTTCTTTCTTTAGCACTAAACCCACATAATATATTATGAACGTTAATTATTTTGAACTTTAACATATATATGCAGTGCACATAAGTTATTGAGAAATTTTGAAAAATGACACTCTTCTGTGTGACCACATACAATAATATTACAGACGTATAGAGTACCTAAAGTAGGTATTAATTATATTGATACATTAATTATATTCATCATTACATTCATAGTTATTAATCTTTACACGTATATTCTATTATTAAAATGGAAACATCAAAAACGTGTATTTAGCAATAGTTGAGTTTTTATTCCTTTTATAAGCAAAACTAAAACTTTTTCGACTAGTTAACCGCTGGCCATCTAATTAAAGACAGTGTATTTTTCGTGTTCTACTTTTAAAATATAATGTTAAAACAGTTGTGTTCAAGTTTCTAGCTCGTAATTAATTGCAACGAGCAAATAAAGAGTAGATAAACTTTGTTGTTTTAATATCCCTTTAGCGTCTTTAATTATGTGACCATCACTGTCTATAATACATCCGTCTGCGTGTGTATATGACTGAACTCCTAAACAGCTCGACCGATTTTGATGAAATTTTGTGCGTATGATTAAGTTGTATTGGTCTACATAGGTGGTGCTGTCGTCGAGATACAGGAATCACCCGCGCGAAGCCGATAGTAGTTCTTTAAAAAGATAAATATTACATTACGCTCTTAACATAAATATAAGTGGAAACTTTTAGTACAAGTTCTCAACAATCACTATTCTTATAGCTTTATCTCAGGCACCGAGTGCGCAACAACAATGCTTTCAATTTACAGATAGACATTCCGTCTACAGACCGAGCCTTTCGTAGTCTCGTGAAAGCAACCAAAATTCATTTGCTCTACACTGTATACAATGTATTATAGCCTTGTGCCATTAGTACTACTCTAGATTTTCACGTAAGTCTGTCAGAAATTTATAATACATTTCTGGTTTGATAAATGTTTTTTTTTTGCCTAAATAATTAACTTATATAAGGAATGATGAACCATGAAGTGACGGTGTAAGAATATACGTCGTAGAGCAATGCTGCAGTTATACGAGTATTAGTTGTATAGTTGTAGCACGAAGGGGTCGGCACGACTAGGGATGGACCACGCTCTCACAGAATACCTACGTAAAATAGTAGCTTAATGCTGCTGTGTTTCGTATTATGAGTGTAAAGAACCGGAGACCCTTTTAACTGGAAACGAGGCATTCCATCTTAGCCCTCACGGGTGACAACGCATCTGCATTTTGATGCGTAATCTAGGATAGATGTAGATGTCTATGGGCCACAGCAACCACTTACCATCAGGTGGACTGTGTGCTCGTTTGTCACCTTATCCCATAAAAAAACCTTCACAAGAAGGCTTTTTTATAGGATAAGGTGACAAACGCTCATGACAAACAACCATGACATAGCTTTACCACGTACAAACGTGGTAAAGCTATGTCATGGTTGGAGCACTAATGGTTCGGCTCGATCGGAGAAGAATCACACTTTCACAGCATATCAGCTTAAAACAGAGAACTGGAGACCCTTTTTTCTGGATACGAGGCATTCCATCTTAGTCCTCACGGGTGACAACGCATCTGCATATCGATTCTTAAAGTTAAAAGTTAAAGTTACAGCCTATATACCGTGCCGGCCGGGTATATAGAGTCGTGGTAGCTCAGATGGTTAGCGCTAGCTGTCAATTTCACAGTACGCGAACCGGGTTCGATCCCCGCTGGCACCAATGAAATCGTTAAATGCAATTTTAAGTGCTGATTTACCACGTGCTCGGCGGTGAGAAAACATCGTGAGGAAACCTGCATGTCTGAGAAATAAGAAAAAATTCGAAGACATGTGAAGTTCGCCAACACGCATTGGGGTAGCGCGGCGGACACTTCCTTACCCTAAAACCCTCTCAGAAATGAGGGGAGGCCTGTGCCCAGCAGTGGGACGTATATATCGATTCTTAATCAAGGATAAATGTAGATGTCTACGAGCCACAGTATCCACTTACCAGCAGGTTTGACTGTGTGCTCGTTTGTCGCCCTTATTCCATGAAAAAGGCTATATCGTGTTGTACGTGTAGTGAGAGGTGATAGAGGGATACTGAAACACGACATAGGCAGCAGCATCTTCTTGATTTGAACTCAAAATTTTAAAACCTGTGGTTGCCAACTCGCTTACCAAGCATGCCAACTGTGGCAAAACACGCTCCATGCAGCAACCTGTGAGTATGGAATAATGTTCAGCAGTCAACTTTTTAAGGTTGTAATATTTAGGTATTTTATTGGCCTATTAAAGTCCACCGCTAAACATTAAATTAAATTAATTGTTACGGATTTCTGTTTTTGGAATTAAATTTTGGTCTGATCTACGTAGAGACCAATAACAGGAGTCATCAAGCCTATATTTTATCCTAAGAACATGGAGATATTTTTTTTTAATCAAACAAAAATTTGTCCAAATAAATGTAAATAAATAAATAATCTTTTATTATATTAAATCTAAGTAACGCTACGTTAATTGATCCTACCCAAGCTAAGCCGGAGCGGTCGCTAATATAATAATTTAATAATACAGACTAAAAATAAATGATATCTTCTCTTCATACTACCAACTTTTATAAATTATATTTTCATGTTTTCAAATAAATAACGATGTAAGAAATTAGTTTCTTTTTTCATCAAACGTCATTTTTGGTCGATAAATACTATTTATCCGAGGCAATGGAATTTGCCAAAGTATAAATAATTAATATGATGGGAAGTAAAATATGTAACAGTAATATCATGGTTATAAAGGTATTCAATAGTTCAGTGAATATATATGTTAATGCCGTAATAGAATCGTGATCAATCAAGTTAAAACCCAGACAAATCAATTTTAAATTGGTGGATCGCACTGAGAGTTCATTCCGGTTCGGAAACGTACCGCAACAAGGCATTCAATTTGCAGCAGACATACTTGCCGTGTTCAGCGGTTTTCCTAGTTTCGTAACAGCGACACAGTTTGCTTCAAAACTACAAAGTGTTCAGAGATCTTATTTCAATGGGGTTATTATTGTGAAGATAAACTAGGAATAGTCGTAATAAATACAATTAAAACAGTTCTGCCGCCAAGCAAAACCAAGCAGTCTTGGTTCAAAGTTAATAATAGGGTTCCTTAGACTACACAGAATCTTCTAGCTGCAAATTTGATCGTCATTCCATTATTATAAGTATGTGATATATTATGTTACATACTTCATGTTAACAATGCTCAACCAACAACTTCCACATTGTGAATATTCATGAAATAACACTTCAACCTTCGCATGATTTCGGACATTACCGAAGTAGCCCACATCCGCCCCATGACTAGGCGACATGCTAATTAGGCGCGAACACGCGTCCTCATCTGACCACTGTCCGTTCGGCACACTTTAGAATAATATTATAATATGATTACAAACTCCAAGTATTAGCATAGTCCCGAAAAGTTTCACAGTATGTTTTGTAATTCAAGTGTGTTATATTGCAAAGTGGATGTAGTATAGTATATAGTATAGTAGTGTATTGCATAATAGTATAGTAGTATATTGCAAAGTGTAACGAAGTACCATTTTTAAAGAAGTAAAGGTTACAAACAAGTACTAATTCCACCTGATGGTAAGTGCTTGCTGTGGGCAACAGACAACTGCAACTATCGTCGATTAAGAATCAAAATGCAGGTGCGTTGTTACTTCTACGGACTAAGGTACTTCTAGGGACTAAATACCTCGCTTACCAGTGAAAAGGGTCTTCAGTTCTCATCACTTGCGATGCTAAACCCAACAGCATTACGATAATATTTCGCGATGGTGCTCTTTGCGAGAATAGTCCTTCCACTTCTTAACTATTCACGCTGCAACTAAAATACGCTGCAGCTGGCTCTACCACGTATATTATATGAGCGTTATAACCTCTGGATAATACCTAATTATAGTACCTTTTGGGTACTAATTTGGTTCGTAATGTTGAAAAATTTGTTCTTTGTTAAATGTAGTGAAAAATTACAAATAAAGTCATCATTCGGACGTCAGGACGTCTGCACCAAGCTTCCTAGATATACCAACCTTACGTGTACCCTTGACTAATGCAGTAAGCAATGATAGATGAAATGTGATAGTATATCCGAATGTTATATGGAAATGCCTCGCCTGAATATCACAGAGCATAACTGCGGCGCAGCATTTTAACATGGTACATTTTCACTCTGCATCTATTTTATTATTGTTACGGCAGGAATGGGTCGGCTTCACTGGAAAAAGACCACGGTTTTACGGGATACCAGCGTGAAGTAGTAGCATAATGCTACTGTGTTATGGGTGAGGATAAAGAACCGAAGACCCTTTTTTGTGGAAACGAGGCACTCTATCTTTATTTTATACTTTTTTATTCTTCTTCTCTTGGAATCATCCTTAGTTTTATTTAACCATTTCTAATCTTATTAATAATAGACAGATCTCCAAATGCATGCGGCGAGACTTACGCAACTTTAATACTGCTCGTATTAAAGAAGCGATCGAACGAAACCAGGGCTTCAAAGTCTTTGCCAGAGATCTGTCTGCCAGAAAGAGCCAACTGTCAAAGCTGAAGACTGAGTTTGGCAGCATCGTATCCGGGACACCTGAGATTTTGAGTGAGATTGAGAGGTTCTATGGGCAGCTGTACACATCATCATTGGAGCCACACGCAAGTGTGAGTAACGATCCAAGAGCAAGTCTTATCCGACACTATTCCGATGACATCCCGAACGTCAGTCTGAGCGAGATTAGAATGGCTCTCCAGCAACTTAAAAACGGCAGGGCCCCAGGTGAGGATGGAATTACAGCGGAGCTTCTGAAAGCGGGTGGAACACCGGTACTTGAAGTCCTTCAGAAGCTCTTCAATTCCGTCCTCCATGGTGGCACTACTCCGGAGGCGTGGAGCAGAAGTCGGTGGTCTTGTTCTTTAAGAAAGGCAGCAATGCTCTCTTGAAGAACTACAGACCGATTTCCCTTCTGAGCCGCGTCTACGTGCTGTTTTCGAGAGTCATTACGAATCGTCTCGCACGCAGACTCGACGACTTCCAGCCTCCCGAACAAGCTGGTTTCCGAAAAGGCTTCACTATCATAGACTACATACATACCCTGCGGCAGATTGTACAGAAGACCCAAGAGTACAATCTGCCACTTTGCCTGGCGTATGTGGACTATAAAAAAGCCTTTGATTCCATCGAAATTTTGGCGGTGCTACAGTCCCTTCAACGGTGCCAAGTTGACTGACGGTATATCGAAGTGCTGAAGTATTTGTACAGTAGGGCTACGATGGCTATCCGAGTACAGAACCAGAGCTCGAAACCTATCCAACTGCAGAGAGGTGTAAGACAGGGTGACGTTATTTCCCCGAAACTCTTCACCGCTGCATTGGAAGACGTTTTCAAGCTACTGGACTGGAAAGGATACGGTATTAACATCAATGGCGAGTACATCACTCAACTTCGATTTGCCGACGATATAGTCCTTATGGCAGAATCGCTGGAGGACCTTAGCACTATTCTCAATGACGACAATGGTGTCTCCCAACGGGTAGGTCTTAAGATGAACATGGACAAAACAAAGATCACGTTTAATGTCCATGTCACACCTACGCCGGTAGTTGTTGGGAGCACTATGCTCGAAGTTGTTGACGAGTACGTTTACCTGGGACAAATAGTCCGACTAGGTAAGTCCAACTTCGGATTCAACTCGGCTGGGCAGCGTTCGGGAAATTACGACACATCTTCTCGTCAGGTATACCTCAATCTCCGAAAATTAGATTGTACAACCAGTGCGTGTTGCTAGTGATGACTTACGGATCTGAGACGTGGTCCTTCACTGCCGGCCGTATGAGGACGCTCAAGGTCGCTCAGCAAGCTATGAAGAGGGCTATGCTCGGAGTTTCTCTGCGTGATAGACTCAGAAATGAGGATATCCGCAGTAAAATCAGAGTTACCGACATAACCCAACGGATTAGTAAGCTGAAGTGGCAATGGGCCGGCCATATAGTTCGAAGAACCGATAACCGATGGGGAAGAAAGGTTCTCGAGTGGAAGCCTCGTACCAGTAGGCGTAGTTTAGGGTGACCCCCCACTAGATGGAGTGACGACCTGGTAAGATATGCAGGAAGTCGATGGATGCAGGTGACTCTGGACCGTGCTTTGTGGCATTACTTGGGGAAGGCTTATGTTCAGCAGTGGACTTGTGAAGGGCTGTAATGATGATCTTGAATCTTATTAATACAAAATATAGCTAACATTTCAGAACATTAATTTTTACACTTTTCTAACAAATTATCTTCCCCGCTATGGGATCTGCCAAATATTTCACCTAATTCCAAAGTGACATCACCCTGGTGGCAGAAAAAGTAGGCGCCCTCATTTAATAAAATTAGTTTTCTACATTTTATCTTATTTTTTTCTTAGAAATCGAAACGTTGGGAATAAATAATAAGTTAAAATTAAAGGCTCTACGAGGGCGGCACTGAAAATTTCGGGAATCAAGGAAGTGACACAACATTACTATTTAAAAATGTATTTATTGCTTTTCGAAGTATTCTCCGCGAAATTTGACACATTTTTCCATACGAGTTCAGAAACGACCTGTGGCAAACAAATGCTAGCATACTATCCTGCATTAACCGTTCTTTGTCCCTCAAGAGGAATAGTCGTAACATGGCCGGTTTTGGAGACAAACGTCGCCACCATTTTTTTTTGCAACACTCCGTGAACGAACAATTTTTGTTGGCTTTAACTCATTTTTGAACAACCAAACTCGTGACTGGTTTTTTGTTTCGGGTTCGTACGCGTATATTCAGGATTCGTCACCTGATACGATGTTATATACAACATTTGAGGATCCTGCGTTGAATCTTTCGAGAGTTCTGATGCAACAAGTAACGCGAGCCGCTTTTTGCTCTTTACAGAGCGAATGCGGTATCCACCGGGAAAACAACTTTTTTACACCTAATTCTTCATGCAAGATTATTTGTATTTAACTTATGCCAATGTCTAAAGTTGCCTGAATTTCGCGGTATGTCACATGTCGATCTTCCTCAATCAGCTTACGCACAGCATCAACGTTTTCTTGGGTGACTGCAGTTTTTGGACGACCTTGACGGGGATCATCACTGAGTTTGACACGTCCACGTTGAAATTCAGCAAACCAGCGATGAATTGTGGTTATGGATGGGGCTTCATCACCAAATGCAGAAATCATCCGGTCAACACACTGTTTTTGTGTTAAACCACTTTGAAAGTCATAATAAATCATCGGTCTTGAATTTTCTCGAGTCAATTCCATTTTCTCAACGACTAAACAAGTTTGACAAAACCTTGTGACAAGACCGAGAATATTTTTTTTTAAATAAATAAATGGTATTCGATTTTTAAAACCAAATAGTTTTCAATTAAAAAGAGTTTAATATGACAGGACCAGTGGAAATATTCCATTCCCGATACTTTTAGTGCAGGCTAGTAAAATAGGGTAAATCTGTAAAAATATGTGTATTCTTATAAATGAAAAAAAAAATCATCATGATAAAATAGGCTGTAAGAGGATATCCGTGCTTATCAAAAATATAATAATATTGCTAACTTAAATTTTTAAACTTACTTTACTTTAAACATTTTAAAAACCGTTAAAGCAAGCCGTATAATAAACATTTCTTTGAAATTTCACTGTAGCCAAATGCGACGCGACAAAGCGTACAATTAGCAGTATATAATGTCACCAAACTGCGGTTTTCCCAGTTTCGTAAATGAATAAAGATTCTCGAATACTAAAATTTATTAGACGGTGTTCCCTGTTGCTACGGTTTATTCTAGAATTTATTCTACACTATATTCGAATTTATAATTAATTTCATATACGAACATTTCGTTGTTGATCGTATCTATTTTTATTTACTTTTACTCTTTTAGAAATAGTCGTATATAAGGTAATGAATATATTATATTTACGTAATTACTACACATTAAATAAAACTAATTTTGCGGATTCTGTTGCGTTTATTTTATAATTTTTTTAATAGGATAAGGGTGACAAACGGGCACACAGTCCACCTGATGGTAAGTGGATGCTGTGGCCCAAAGACATCTACATCCATCGTCGATCAAGATACAAGACTCAGATGCATTGTCACCCCTGATGACTAAGATGGAATGCCTCGTTTCTAGTAAAAAGGGTTCCCTACACTCACCATACGAAACACAACAACATATAGCTGTTATTTTACGCTGGTATTCTGTGAGGGCGTGGTCTTTCCCCGGTCGAGCCGACCCATTCGTGATACAACTATACTACTAATATAACTGCAGCTTGGCTCTAAT